TTTTTTATTTTCCCTGTTAGATTGCACTAAAGATTAGGTAGGTCAGTGCTGTGCTGTTCAAAAGTTTATTTACTTCACACTGTGATTTCTCCTTGAAAGAGTAAGGGCAAAGTAACCTTTGGTTCTTCAAAAGCTCTGGCACTGCTGTGATTACTCCAAGAGAAATTTGTATATTGTTAGTTTGGCAGCAAGCCGTTCAATCCCGCAAGAGACTCAGCAAATAGCTCAGGTGAGCTGAGAAGAGATACAGTTACACGGATGTTTCTATACTGCGTATCATTAATTAATCTACTACAGCTAGCTCTTTCTGAACCATTGTATATTCTCTGCTTATACAGTCTTATCGACCTGACCCTGGGGAAAATCAATTCTTGTAATCTATCTTATTACATTTAAATATATGTACAGAACTTGATATAGTACAACAGCAGTGGGGCTTGAAAGAGGAAAGGAAAAATGTCTGGGATGGAGGAGAAAAAGGAGGAAAAGCAGATAACACGTTGATACACTGGGATAAGCCCTGCCAATCCTCCTAATTTATTTTTTCCAAATTCACACCATTATAAACGGGGTGAACGGGGTCTTAGGAAAAAAGGGTCATATGCTTCTCATGTGCAACATGGTGCAAGCTCACCTGAGGACGTACGCACCCTGAAATCCATGGCACATCTGACCATGTTATGGCCTCATCTAAAGATCCTGAAGTCTTACAAAAGTTCTTGCAGTTCATGCTTTTCACTCTTGATGTCTCTGCTGTTTTGACCAAAATACAATGACTTTAAAAGGAAATCCATGTTTCTTTATCAGTCCAATAAAAACCGCATCGCTATCCTGCGACATTAAGATCTGTTCTCATATTTAAATGCAACTTGATAGATAAGGTGACCTGAATTTCCACAAAGATGAGGCTGACAAAAAAATATAAAAGGCCAAGAGGAGGATCTGAGGAGGTACAGGATGGCCTGACTCACTTTTGTCCCTAGGAAAATCACGGTGTGATTCTTTTTGAAACATATTTCTGGTGATGGGAAGAAGAATAAAGGAACCAGAAAGGGGTAGCATGGATTTACCAAGCATTAATCATGTCTGACCAATTTAACCAGGCTCTTCATGGTGATGTATTTTGTAGGAGGACAGGAGACAGTGGACACTGAAGCATGAGAAATTCAGACTGGAAATAGGGAAAAACTTTGTCATGATGAGACCAGTCAGGTATCGGAAGAGGTTTCCCAGCGAGGCTGCGCAGCCTTCAACCTTGGAGGCTTTCAAGGTGTGGATGGATAAATCCCTCAGCAACCTGGTCTTACCATCAGAAGGACGGTAAAAGCTCCATTTCTGTTTGGTGGACACACTAAATGTGAGCATCACTCTGCTCTGACTTGAGAATGGAGATAGGGAGTCACACAGAGGCAACCAGCACTTATGGATGTGTGAGCAGGCCTTGGTGGGATGACACTAAACTGCAGAGAGAACTCACCTTGGTTACTGCTGGTAAACTTGTCCCTGGACAAAAGGACCATGTGTGGATAACTGAAAGTAGAAATTATATTACATCCAAAAGTAAGATTCCATAGTAATTATTTTTACTTTTGTTAAGAGTGAGGGATAATGAAACAGACCCATCATGAAATTAGAAGTTGATGTTCAGGCATCACAAAAAAATCTGTAAAGACAGAGGGTGGGTACGGAGAGGCTGATTTGTAGAAGAGATGGAGTTGTTGCTATAAACTGGTTTTTTTTTTTTTTTTTTTTTTTTTTTTTTTTTTTTTTTTTTTTTTTTTTTTTTTTTTATCTAAGTGAAGGCATCATAGAGTGCTCATATCTGGTGGTGTCCCATTTTCAGCTATGCCTTAACTTGAGGTGGAAAATGGGTGAGGCTGCCATAGCAAGTTGAATCCAGAAAAGCCTTCCTGTGACACAGAACCATCCTGGGGTAGATTAACGTGGGTGCAAGTGCCTGGGATTAGGCTAGTGTACACCCAAATGATGTGAAAACACAATTTTATGGTGGGTATCTTCATGGGCAACGGAGATGTGTCACATAGGTACCTTCCAGCCTTCTCCTCTAACAGCTTTGCCCCTCTCTTGTTTTCTCTTCATAAGCCAAGTTTAGAGAAAAGGGAGAGGAAGATCTAAAAGCCTTGCTTTGGCTTCCTTCCCTCTGACAATAGAGGCAATGACAAATCCGAGATGCTGCCAGCCCTCCTTCAAGGGCTGGATTGATGTCCCTGCCTTGTGGTTAGACCCAGCTGGGAGAAGGGGAATTAGGCCTTGTCTTTCAATTACTGCTGTTTTGCTCAGGGCCGCACATTGAAGCCTCCCAGCGGAGAAGTCCTTCTTACCGCTTATAATCTCTGGATTGTATTTGAAAATAAAGCTTTTAATTAAAACTGGCATTTCTCAGCTTCCCACTGGCAGCCGACATCTGCCTGCAAAGACGTATCTTTTGTGACACTTGCAGTACAGAAGCCCAGTGTTCAGGAGAGTAAACTAATTCCCCGCTCTCCTGCCATCAGATGAGATGTGAAAGACAAGCTCCTCAACACTTAGGTCCGCTAAAGATCCCACGGCATTTCGCAACAGCAAGGGGGTTAACCCCCGTGACCTGGCTGGATTCCAGCTCAAGTAATCTCCGTCTCAAATCCGCCCCCCCTGCAGTTCCTTACGTGACATAATCCCCTTCCCGCGCTCTATCATTGCTGGGAGACGTCGATGCAAAGAGTTAAACAGTCGCACGGTTGGCTTGCAGGGGACAGCGTTTCATAGGTGGGTCCTTCCACACGCACCCAAAAAGATGATGTGATGGCATCTTTTTTCAACTCCGACGTGTTGCCCCTGATCTGAAGACAAACCTTGCAAAAAGTTTCATGCCCAAAGCGATATTTTGGGAGAGTCTTCAGCAGCTGACGGACCATTTCAAATGCTATAACCTAACTATTTCCACAATGCTCTCTGTATTATCTCACTTAATTAGCATTCAAGGATGTAGAGAGACTTAACAATATTGGCAAAGTTCTATGACTTCAAATGCACAATGATACAATTGAATCCTCTTATGACATCTTTTAAATCTGATGGGAGTCTTTGTGTTTTAAGTGAGGATCTTGACATGTAAATTAATTTTATTATGCCTATTTCTCCAGGGGTCCTGAGGGCAAGGTTTTTTCCTCTGCTCACAGTCATGTATTCTGATGTGGACTAATTGTCTCTCATCCTTCTCCCTGCAGCAGCCCGCACTTCAGGCATTTTATGTACCAAATCTGTCATGTGCAGCATAATCCTGGTGAGGGAGAATGGGGAGAGGGCAGACTGAAATGAGTTATTGACAGTATCTCTGATAGTTAAATTAGAGGTCTATGCTGTGAGTTTTACAAGTTTCTTGAAGTCCTGGAATTCCATTAACAGGAAAAGAAAACAAAACTAACAAAACAGGTGGGAAATGGCAAGGATTCAACACCAGAAAATAAAAATCAAAATCACTTATCCTCCAGCACTTGGCAATCCCAAAGTGTTGTATCAAAGTCAAGGAAAAACAATAAGTAGAAAACAAATGTGGCCTCAGGAGTTTGTTCATAAATTTATATGGCAATAGCACTGCGTGTTCTCAAAAGTGAAATAGCCTCAAATAAGATATTAAAACTCAGAATCATCTCTGCTAATGTAACATCTCTATCTGATACAATTGAGATTACCCTGTAGATATTTTATGGTTTTAGCAGCTTTTTTCCCTCCCAACATTAAATATTTAATAGTTCTAATTTATCACTTTAATATTGAGTTGTTTTGACTTAGATGCTTGGGCCATGAACTGAATTGCGCAGACGAGAGGAAATTGTTCATGTTTATCAGAGTTACAGACTGAAAAAGAATACAGTGTGCTTACATCTCCAGTGCCTGGTGCCACACACAATCCCTTTTATCAAGGGAAAATGCCTTCAATACCCCTTCTGTGAACTAGTACCACTGGGCAGCAGCTTTGCTTATTATTATTATTATTATTATTATTATTATTATTATTATTATTATTATTATTATTATTT